TTGACTGATAGAAGTTGTACTTCTCTTATTTAAGGATAAAGTAATGTGATGTGGTAGACTCACAGTAAATGACTTTCAAAAGTCATGATGGAATTTCACCTATTGTATGGGAGACTCATACATCTTCCTACTTATGATAGCCAAAAATATATAGCAGTGGCACTCCTGAAAGACACATCTTTGGAGCCTAGACCAAAAACTGCTGTAACAACACGTTCTCTGAGAACACGAAGGGGAAACACAAGTATTCGTTTTCTCTTTTGAAAAAAAAATCACAATTCTGTAAACCATGAAATCAACTAAAGGTTATTTTTATTAATTTTTGTGTGTCACACACATCTTCAGTATCTGGACTAACACTTAAAATGGGACTACTATTTTTAATTGGCAATTGCTATATCTGCATAGTCTAGCTGAGTGCCAGTGTTATAAAATATTAATGGACAACTTTGTAAAAACCTATAGAGCATGATTGAATGAGGAAAGACGAGGTTGTAAGCTTGATGCTGCAATAATTTTAGTGATTGCTGGCTCAGTGCCATAATTACAATTCTGTATTAATAATACCACTTCAGAGCTGGTGTTTTGCATAAATCAGATTCATTTCTTATTTTTCTCCTTTCACCCTTTGAAAAGAGGAACCATTGGAATGTATTCCGAGTCAAAGATTTTTGCTACGATCCAAAGATTTTTGCTACTTCCTTGAATAGCTATTTTTAGTGCAAGACTGTTGTAGTTTAATGTACAATATGCTCACCTGTGTAGCTTTGAATTCTGGCTCTTCTTTGCCACCATTCCTGGTGATATTGCTCACTACAAAAGTCTAATTGACTACAGGAGTGCGGGATTGGAATCAATCCAGCTTCCTAACATGGTTGTTGGATTACTTAAAGTCTCCATTTAACTCCTTTACCTAAGATCAGAACATGTTCTCAGTCTTCAGCAACACTGCTATAGGAAAGACAATCTGAATGTTTGCATCTGTACATCAGTTTTTTGTATAGCTCTTCCAACGAGATCTATTCTAAATACTCAACCCCAAAATTAAATTTATTACTCCTAAATGAAAAAAAAACCCTGATCATACTGGGTAAATGTTAAAATCAGGCTGAGACATTGTCTTCTGTGCAAGATTTAACCTATACAGCAAATCTGCTATAATCCTCAAACGAGGCCTCTAAAATCCCCTCTTATTGTGACAGTAAGTCATGCTTATTTATGCTGAGTTACACTGTGGATATTTTGCAGTTTACTATCAATAATATCAATACATCTCTCTGTGTAACTGGGAGGTTCGTAGCATGCATAGCAGATGAAAGATATTATTTTTGCCCCGTGTATTTTATATGGTAAATTGAACATGGTATAACAAGGAGGATGCAAAACAGTTGGAAGTGTGGGCCTGGAGATGGGGGTAGAATCAATGATACTACGTGATTTACTCCCTAAGGGCTAGAGAACAGCATTATATGTGGTTTTTGGTGACTCAGTTAATTGCAAATGAGACCTATTTATGTTATGATTCTTAAGGTGGATTTGAATAAGGAAGGCATTAATGGTCTTTTGATTCACCCAGAATAAGCTTTCTAAGCAATAGGGCTGATGTGGATAAAGGTGTGAAGTTGTTTACAGGAGAAGCAGTGTTAGCAGAGTGAAAGGAGGGAAATGGTGATGCAAAAGAAGATCTGGGGCTCAGTTTCTGTCCGTGCTGAAGTTATGCTTTATGCACCTGAAAGTGGAGAACCAAAGGAAGGCAGCTCTAATGACTTTGATTTTCTTGATGACCTGCAGCAGCAAACTACAGGTTGTGACTACTGATACATGAAACATTTGTGCTGCATTTTTGTTCTGCTGATTAACTTGCTATTCCCATGCTAAGGAGATGCAAAAAGGAAAGAATGACACATTTTCAGAATGCCTTTAATCTTTTTCAACACACAGTGTTTTATTTCTTTGGATGCTAGCTTGAATTCAACCCAAGTTATTACTGCCTGCAAGTCTTTTAGTGGCCCTTGGTGAAAAAGTTGTTGGGGGGCTCAGTCTGGTTACTAGTGGATAGATGTCCAGATTTTGAAAATGTTGTCATATTTGGCACTAATATGACTCTCAGCAGAGCTAAAAAGTATTGAATGAGCAAGGCGCCACCTGCATCTTAGAATATATTGATAGAGCACTGTGGAGACACATGCACTGTTGGTGCTTGTGTTATACCTGCTGAAAGGATACATTGAGGACTTCCTTTAATTTACAGAACTGTACCTATACAGCAACTTGCTCAAGGTCTAAATTGAACTGAAAATCCTGTTATCTGCTGTGGCCTTCTGTGGTCATTTATTTTCCCTTAGAGAAGCATAATGAAAATTCTTGGGGGGTAATATAAGTGAAGAGGATATTAAAGACATCACTGCCCTCTGGAAGAGCATTTTATGTTCCTGCAGCTTTGGACACTGATCAGAGATGGGTTTCTTTAATATTATTAAGTGCTCACTGGAAAATGTCTTCTTTCAATAATGTAAGTGTTCTCTAGAGTCATCTCTTTATCTTTTGGAAGATTCTATTTTTTTTATTGCACCACTCTGTTAGTAATTAAAGTTTGGGAACAAATTGCACCAGTACATTTAGAGAATTCATGAATGTGAATAACATGGCATTTGTTTCAAATTGTACGTAACAATACACGTTCCCTTTATTATTTTGAAGTGCATGTAAAATGTAGTAAATATTTGCTTTAAAGTATTACACATAATATTTTCTTTCAGGTAGCTTACTGTATGATCCAAAGCTATTTGAATGTCATGTTACTAAAACAAATAAAAACAACACAAATAAAAACAAAACAACCAAAAAACAACCAATCCTCAGAGATTAGCATAGGTATTTGTGAATTTTTGTAGCTAGCAAGCAAAGCAGATAATTCTCTCCTCTATCCGCTGCCACACCCTACTGGTACTAGTGAAAAAGGTTCACAGATAAATATCATGAAGATCATCAGATTGGTGGCAAGAAGTTAAATCTCAAGAATCTATTATTACATTACAAATTAGTTTTCACACCATTTTGTGACTCATGCATAAAGATTTCCTCTTCATTAGGGAAATGGAAAAGTTGATGTTTGGTACTCTGACACTTTAAGTACATAAACATGCTTTCATTGTGTTAATGGCGAGTAAAATTAAAATAATAAGAACATAAAAATAGCCATTCTGGTTTAAACCAAAGGCCCATCTAGCCCATTAGCATGTCTTCCAACAGTGGCTAATGCCAGGTACCCCACAGGGAATGAACAAAAAAGGCAATCACCCATATCCTGACATGCATTCCCAGCCTGTGGCAAAGAGAGCTTAGGGACACCATCCCTGCACATCTTAGTTAATAGTCATTGATGGACCTAACCGCCATGAATTTATCTAGTTCCTTTTTGAATCCTGTTATAGTCTTGGCTTCACAGCATCGTCTGGCAAAGAGTTCTACAGGTTAACAATTAAACACATAATTAAAAACGGGGAAGTAAATGTTTCTGAAGATTTCAACCACTGGACCCAATCCTACAAAGCTTTAACATTTAACCCAGTACTTAACCTGTATGAACTGTGTAGGGCGTAGATTTTCAAAGGCCCAAGAGGAAGTCAGACACTCACCTCCCACTGAAAGTCAGTGGGATTTGGATAGCCAACTTTCCCCTTTCTACCTTTGAAACACTTCCCATTAATCATTACACACCCCCATATGAGGTATGTAAACAGTACTCAGCTCCTCTTTGCAGACAGAAACAAAGAGAAAATGCTTAAGCACTGCGTCAGAAGGAGTCAAATGCAGTTGTTCCTTATTCTTATCCTCATGCCTTGGTTTAGACCATGCTGCCATTAATGCTAGTGAGCTACCCATCCTAGAGGCCAGAGGTCACACAGGCTGCTTAATTGCTGGCAGCCAACTTAGAGGTAGCTTGAGGTAGCTCAGGTACCATAGCTCTTAACCCTTAGGCTTAATCTACACTGCAGGGTTTTTGTGCAAGTCTTTTGCATAAGAGTTTTTCTGCAAAAACGCATCTAGACCTCAAAGTGCATCACCAAAGCGATGTGCTATTGCACAAGAGAGCATCCACACTGCATGAACACTCGTGCAAGAAAGCTCTGATGGCCATTTACAGAATGGCTATCAGAGCAACTGTGCTTTTTCCAATAGGGGTTTCTTACCCAAAAACCCCTCCGGAGGGTCTACACCTGCCTTTTTGCACAAGAACTGTAGCACAAAAAGGAGTTATTCCTCATGGGGAGAGGAATAACTATACCTCAAAAAGCCTTCTCTTCTGTCGATTTTCTTGCACAAAAACGTGCTTGAGGTGTTAATGCTTCACCGGTTTTTGCGCAAAAACCTTGTAGTGTAGACATAGCCTTAGAGCAGTAGCTTACCTCAATGGCTTTGAGTGTAGTGTCAGTCACGGGTTTCCCCTCGCTATCAGTGGTCTCCCTCTTACTGGTTGCTTCATTTTGCCTTCTGGACAAATCAAAAAGCCTTCCCTTACTGGGGTAAATAAAAGTCCAACAAGCAGAGCTATAAATGTCTTTCTCTGTTCCACTTCTTGGATCATGGCCTACTCCCCGGCCCTTGTGAGATCACCTCTTGCTTGCAAGGGTCCATACTGCTATAGGTATTGGTCTTTAAAGGTACGCACCAGCAGTAAATCTTGCTACTACCCTAAAGACCAGCCCAGGGTGAATTTAGGAGCAAGACTGCAAATAATTTAATTTTGGGAAGATAAAAATTATAATTAAGGAAGATATACTATAGTTCAATCACAACTATGGGACTTGAGGCGGAAATTAATTTACAGAAGTCTTATGACCTGTTATGCAGGAGGACAGACTAGATAGCCACAAGGGACTATTTTGTTTTTTAAATCTATGATTTTGTTCCTTTAATTATCAGTTAACTTGTTTTAAAATGCTCCAGTCTAGTTCTGATTTCAGTGCAAATTATTATCTTTGCTTTCTTTCCAGCAGGTGCAGCTATTTACAATAGTTTTTATGTTTTCTGCAAAAGTTTCTGTCAAGCTGTGAAGCCTGGGAAACTGCGGGTCCGTTGCAGTACATGTAAAGAAGGGACACTAACTCTAACAAGGGTAAGCAAGAGCTTTCATGTTTATAAAGAGTATAAAATATATGTTTATAATATTTCTCAATATATTAACTGCTGTATAAAGCTTAGAAGATGAAAACAAAGATTATTTATCCTTCCACTTACTTTCTCCTCCCCCCCCCCCTTTGGCTCAGTTCGTTTAGGGAAAACTTTTCAAGCATGAGCTCTGATCTTGCAAATACTTCAGCATATGTTTAATTTTATGCACTGTGAGTAGTCCAGTGGACATTCTGGATGTTAGGTGCTGAGATCTGGATCCACAAGGGGCTTTTAGTCACCTGTAATGTCACTGTAACAACACTGATTCTCAAACACTTGAGTTAAACTGCTAGGTTCCTTCTACAATGAATTGGGAGAGATTCATAAAATTCCAGAGGGGATCTTTGTAATCATCCTGTATAACATAAGCCATAGATTTTCACCAAAATATTTCCTAGAGCAGATCTTTTAGGGAAAAAAAGCCAATATTGATTTAAAAATTGTGAGTGGTAGAGAATCCACCACGGTCCATGACAATTTTTTTCAAATGGCTAATTACAGTCACCATTACAAATGTATGCCTTATTTCTAGTCTGAATTTGTCTAACTTCGACTTCCACTCATTGGCTCATGTTATACCTTTCTCTCCTTGACTGAAGAATCCATTATTAAATATTTGTTCCCCATATACATTGGATTATAATCTATAACAGTCACCCGTTCACCTTCTCTTTCAGTTGCTTAACATTATATAAAGGGATGTTTTCCAATCCTCTAATCATTCTTGGGGCTTGCGGAGTGGACTAGGCACTGAGGCCCCTTTGCTGGAGGCTTTGTGGTCCTACAACACCCCACCACAGATAAAAGGTGGTAGAGAGGTCCTCCAAGCAGACAAGAGTGGCTGCAGGGGAAGGCCAGGAAGGCAATAGAAAAGGAGCAGCAGAACAGAGCATTAGTTAGTTGCTGTGAGCAAATCAAGGAGTGAAGACTGGGGGTATGTCTACACTACATGGCTCCGTCGACAGTGCCATGTAGATGAGCTTTGTAGACATAGGCGATTTAAATAATCGCCGCTTCATTTAAATCAAAACGGCTGCCGCACTGTGCCGATCAGCTGTTTGTCGGCACAGTGTGGTAGTCTGGACGCTTGGCGGTCGACATCAAAAGCCTTTGACGACCGCCCAGTTATGCCTCATGGGATGAGGCTTACCAGGGCAGTCAATAACGGTAAGATCAATGCACAAACATCAGCAACGGCATAGATTTGTCTTCTGAAATTGTGATAATATAGCAAAGAGGTACCATTTCACAAAATTTACAGCTTCATAATCCTCTGTCAGTAAGGGGAAGTTATATAATAATGAAAGTCTTGCAGGAAGACTGGGATAACCATTCCCATTCCTAGACAGAAACAGCAGTTAACTGGTAAGCCTCACCCTATAGAGTAACTGTTTTCTTGAATGCACTTGAAGACATACTTTAATACAGTGGCCCTTTCTCTCACCAAGTCCTCTGCTATAGAGCAGTCATCCAGAACACATTAAACTAGAATGAAACAGACCCAAGGTAAGTGCCTTGGTCCTTAAAATAATGAAGATAAATCCTGAGCCAAGTTACAGACAGTTTGTGAATGAAACAATAAGGCTTTTTTCTTATTTATTTAGGCATTTACTGCCTGGTATATACATTGTTTCAGCACTGTCCCACTGTCATGGAAAGGTCTTTTATGTATTAATAAGAAAATCTTTTCAAGACTAAGAGCTGGTCTGGGTGGACTTGCCTTTTGGTGCCCATGGCCCCTTGGGGTCATGGCATTCCCCATAGCTACAGTGACCATATTTTCCAAACCAAAAATGGGGACACATGATATAAAGGCCCTACCAATCAATCAAACCTTAGCCATGCTCTGACACCTTAGGCCCCACCCACCAGCTCCAGACTCTCTGCCATCTGGCTCTTACTACGTTTAAAAGACAGAGGCGCAATGGGGGAATTTCTGCGACATTTTGGTCCTTTATAGGGACAACGGGACAGAAGATTTAAAATTGGGACTGTCCTGGAAAATCTGGGACTTATGGTCAGTGTACCCATAGCCCTTACCCCCAAACCTTTCTATATTGCTAATCCCTGCACCTCCCTCTTACATCCCTAATCACTGGACATTGTCCCTTTCATCCCAACCTCTGCTCTCCCCTCCTCTGCTCCCATCCCTGCATCCCCTTCACCTCCCACCTGAGCCCCTAACTTCTTCATACTCCTTTTGCACCCATGTGGAGAAACTGACCTTGATGAACAAAGAAGCTGACATTGCCCATTAGACTGCTGCTTCTCCCACTCCACGAACCTTGGGGCTGGAAAGGGAGGAGCGAGGAGCAATATCAGAGCTCCTTACATGCAGCTCACTTTCCTTGTCAGGGCTGCATAAAGAGGGCAGGAAAGCAGCCGTTGATGATGCCCACAGCCAAGATGGCAAAAGTGACAGATGTCAGAACAAGGAGCAATGGTCTCAAGTTGTGGTGGGAGAGGTCCAGGTTGGATATTAGGAAAAACTATTTCCCTAGGAGGGTGGTGAAGCACTGGAATGGGTTACCTAGGGAAGTAGTGGAGTCTCCATCCTTAGAGGTGTTTAAGTCTCGGCTTGACAAAGCCCTGGCCGGGTTGATTTAGTTGGAATTGGTCCTGCCTAGAGCAGGGGGCTGGACTTGATGACCTTCTGAGGTCTCTTCCAGTTCTATGATAATTTAAATCACCGTTTCATTTTGCTATGTCTACAAAGCTCATCCACATGGGTCTGTCGGCAGAGCCATGTAGTGTAGACATACCCTAGGTGACTAGCTGACTGACAGATAGTGCTGCAGATAGTTTAGTGTGGAGAACTCATGGCAAAAAAACCCAGAGCCCTGAAATAAAGGCAAAGACAGCACAGGGGCATGAGGAAGTGACGCAGGGAATTAGAGCAACAGTGGAACACATAACAAAACTTTAATGTTACATTTAAATCATTGAGGGTCTGTGAGGGGGCTCACTCACCACCACAGCACCACCAGTCATCTGCCCTGGGAATTAGCTCCTTCTGGCCAGCTGGGAGCCTTCCCTCGGGTGGTGTCTCCCCTCTTCCCTCCAGGCCATGGCATCCTCTTCAGGACACTGCCCTCCGGCAGTGCCCATGTCAGTCTCTGAGTCCCCCTTCTGGGGGCAGCTCAGCTCAGCTCAGCTCAGCTCAGCTCAGCTCAGCTCAGCTCAGCTCAGCTCAGCTCAGCTCAGCTCAGCTCAGCTCAGCTCAGCTCAGCTCAGCTCAGCTCAGCTCAGCTCAGCTCAGCTCAGCTCAGCTCCAGGGAGCCTCCTACTCCCCCAGCAGCCAGGCTCTCACTGCTCTCTCCTCTGAGTAGCAGCCCATCCTCTTATACAGCTCCCAGCTGGGCCCTAATCAGCTAACGCGGCCTCAGCTGGGGCTAAACTCCCAGACCCTGCTCCGGGCTGGGGTTTGCTCTTAAAGGGCTAGTGCAGGGCAAGCGCCCTGTCACAGGGTCTCTTTAATTTATTATTGAAGTTTTGAAAAAACATTCAGTGGCATGCCAGCTGAACAATTGTAAATGTATCTCAAACAGTCAGTTTTAATGGCATGTTGATTTGTAAACTGAAGGCTCTCACAGAACCTTTGAAAAAGGTTCTTTTTTATACTTAGAGAAACTAATTAATGGTTACTTTCTTAAGGATATTTCTCCCTAAAGAGAAAGAGGGGCATGGATTAAGATGTCCTGATGGCATGGATTAAGATGTCCTGATTCTACTCTCAAATCCAATAGTGATTCCCTCTCTGGCTTTGTGCAAGCCACTTTAGCCAAAATAGTCATAATTAGAAAATACTTTTGAAAAACTCACGTTCTGGATGCCAACCCTTAAAGTAAATATTGCGTCAAAATTTTCAGTCTGGTATGTCCAAAGTTAGATACTTGTATCCACATTTAGGTACTTAAATAGGAGGCCTGACTTTTTCTGAGGTGCTGTGCATTTGCATATCCAGTCAACTTAATTAGAGGTTGTGTGTTAGGCACCTCTGAAATTCAGGGTTTTTTGGCATTAACCTGTCTGCCTCAGTTTCTCAAGCAGTAAAATGAAGGTAAGTCTAATGTGTCTGAGATGGATGTTTGAAAGGCTTTGAATATTAATAGAGACTTGTTTCTCTTAGGCTTTTATCGTAATTAATATTCTTAAATACCAAGACATGCAGAAAAGAACATTATGCCTCCACCAAGCCGCCCAGACTTTTAATTTCCTTCCATAGTTCAGGTACCATCACCTTGTGAGAGATCAATGAGCTACCACAGAACCAAGAAGTTACATTCCACTACAAAGACATTTTTCTGATCCTTCTTTTTCACCCAAGTCACATTTTAATTTTAATTAATTATGGTTTCAATCAAATCTCCATTAAAATAACTTGACTCAAAATTGTCTTTACCTCATAGAACTTTGGTTCATATTCAAATTTATAATATCAGTTAGATGTCAGAGCTTCTGAAGGAAGATGCTGTTTTTAATAGCAGACAATAAAATAAATTGTTAAAGAACTGTCAGGTTCTTCTTTGAATTGCTAACACAGAACACACCTTAGGCTCTTGTCCACGCTCACTGATTGTACAGAGTATGTTTTTATTTTGCTGCTTCAGAGGCTTAAGCAATAAATCCTTGAGATGAGGTTGCATTTACAGATTCAAACAGACTTTAGCATTAGCTTCCTCCTTGATAATTCCCAGGGCTTGTGTCTGCAGGTCTTGGTATTCATCTAGTTCTCTGAGCTCACAGATGCTCAGTCTTCTATTTTGGGGAGTTGGAATTAATGAGAGCCATCTGATGTGCCAGGGTGAGTCATCAGAATAACTCAAGATTTCCATATAGGTTGTCAGATTTTAGGAACCTCTCACAATATCCTTGCCTCTTTCTGTCCTCATCTTCTTTCCCTCATTTTCTAACTCCACCCTTCTGTTTCCAATCCTTTTTTTC